TCAATGCTCTCGAATACACACACATATCATTCCCATGCCGATTTTAATACATATATATATATATATATATATATTACGATCTGGAGCCGATTGACGTCACTCGAGGAGGGGATGAGCAATTAAAAACTACTCGGCCAGCAGGCAGCAAACCGACAAGCTTGTACAAACAACAAATCAAAAGTGAATCCTCTTGACTTGGCAACAGCAGCCAAAAAGAATGAAACAACAAACACAAATGCGGCAAACAAATTGGAAAAGCGTGTGCGCCTGTTAAAATTGTTTCGACTTTTGCAGAAATGCATTTTGATGTTTGCCAAACCAATAAAGCTTTTTAATGGAAGGCTTAATCTGGCCATTAGTTAAAAGTTAACTTGGCGAAAATGCATTAAAGCTTATGTATTCATGTTTAACATATGGGATTAAATTTACGCATTAATCTGACAATATTCTGTGTAATTAATATTTAAAATGCACTTAGGTAAACTACAGGGATTATCATTGCACTAATTGCACGGATTAAATCATCAATTAGTTAATTGAAATGAAATTCACCGAGTGACGCAGGTGGCCAGAGGTTATGGACTGGATTTTCGATTAAATGAGAGAAGCCGGAAAATTGATTACCAAATGACTTGTTTTTGGGAAAACGAAAACCTCTTCGGAGGAGGCTTAAAATGTCAATTGCAGATGTGTACACTGTGTTTGTGGGAGCGGAGTAAATGAATTTTCGGAGAGGACGCATCTGTGTTCGTCTTGTCGGAGGAGGAGGAGGTGGGCTTTTCCTAAACTTGTTGCCTGCCTAACGAGCGTGAAACTGTCATTAAATCTACCCAGGCAACAACGCAACACAACCATCCACCCACAGTAAAAGTGCCCGAAGCTCTTTGTTTGCCTGCTAATTGAAACTGAATTAAAAGCCTTAGTCAAATACACTTCATATGCGCTCGTTAAATCGGTTTTAATGCATTCTAAAAGCACCTGTTGCGTTTTAAAATCGCTGTCATCATCATCATTATAGTCGCATCTTTCGTTCGCCACAATTAAGAGTCATTTACTTATCACAATCTGGACGGCGGCAGCATCCCCTTACTTTTTTTTATCCCATCTCATCTGAGCTTAGCTCAGTGCAGTTCAGCTTCTGCAGCCGATGTGGCCTTCTTCCCGGGGTGCCATCAGTGCTGTACGTTAGAGAATATAAAGGTTTAGCTTAGTAGAGCCTTTAGCAGAAAATATATAGGTTGTGCTTAAAAAAAGCAGGCAATTATTTCTTTAGATATTGAGGTGATAAAGAAGTATGCATTGCATTGCAATTTTCTTATTAATTGGAATTATAAGCCTCAACAAAAAATTGTAGTAAAAGATTTGGCTAAATTTTTTTTTATCGATTTATTGGTTATCAGGTACAATTACTGGGAATAAAAAGTTAATTTTTGTGTACCGCTTTATTTTAGTAAAGATTGATAAAAATGTAATACAAGTATTATTTAATTGATACAATTGAGATCCTGAAAATTATCGATATTTTCGATATTTTCACAATATAAATTCGATAATATCGATGTTTTTAGGGAAAACACATTAGATACCGAGAAATAGCTAACTTTCGTTATTTTCTATAGCTCTAAGAAAAACGTTTATATAAAAACTTAACGATCTATAAAATGGATTCGTTATCTGATAAGTCCACCGTTTTATTGTATTTCACAAGCAATATTTTTAAAATTGACACCTTGAACTAGCCAATTGGGACTATTAAATAGCTGAAAAGGCAGCACGAGAATGGTTGTAGCTTCAACCTTGTCTGTCTCTCTGCCACTAAAGAAGACGCTTAGGTTGAACGAGCAAAATGTGGTGGCGGAAAGCCATTTTCCCTGTTGACGCTTAGGGATTTTCTCTCAACAATGGCAGCCGTAAAATTGCAGGGATGTCGTCGGGATGAAGGCAGGGATGGCAGGATGGCAGGACAACAACGACTTCGTCCTGCCAGCCTGAAACCTTTTCATCATTTTGGATGCGGCTGCAATAAGCGAAATGGCAACGTGCCATGGCAACTCATAACGGATGCCGAGTGCCGGGGATTAAAACGTAACCATTGAGCCATTGAATCGGGGATTCCACTTCCACTTTCCACTTTTTCCCAATGACGATGATGCAAGGCAAATTGAAAAGCCCTGGATGGATTTTTTCCTCCCACCTACTTCTTATTTTTTCCTTTTTGAGGCTTGTGAAATATGCATCCTCGACATCACATCTTCATTAAGTGCAGTTCGCATTGAGGAAGATGTCGTATGGCGGATGTATGACCTCGATTCTATATGCCTATATCATATATAGCTCCCCCACTTTTCTGTCTGGTTTTCTGTCCCATGTCCCCTTGATATACTGACAAATCATTTCGCATTTCACATTTAACACAGGCGTCAGAGCAGCGTGCTCTTAGCATTTTTCTTCGTTCAATGACATTGAAAAGAATTTTCATATGTGTATTTTCCATTCCCCCCTTTTCCCGCCTGCTGCCACGCCCCCTTTGCGATGTCGTCGTTGTTTGCTGACGTTTCGCTTGGCTTGTTTTATTTTTGATGGTGTATCTGTAGTCTTTTTTTTTGGCACAGTTCTTCTTCATTGATCTTGTCTGGTTGGTGAAAATTTATAAGCGCTATAAAGCGCTGAAAAGAAATGCTACCGCATTGTTCCCGATTGTGGAGCTATTTTTGGATAAAGCTAAATTATGATAAACAAATTAAATAAATTTTCTGGGGCATTTTCCGTAGCTTTGAAGGGCGCCGCGCCTTTATTGCATAATTGCACAAATTGATTACAATTCCGGGCGGTTTTTATTTTTTTTGTATTTTTTCTCTAACTGTGCACGGCACGCCCTTCATTTTCTCTAATTTCCCGTCTCCAAATGGGTTTCCAAAATATTTCGGGGGCCCAACTGCCCCAATTTTCCCTATATAGGGGAAATGTGAGTGTGTGTTAAAGGTCAACGAATTGTTTGTCACCGCCGTTCATCTAATGACCGCCAACTGTGCCGCACAGCTGAGCATCTTTTGCTGTTTTTTCTGTGTGTGGCTGCCATATGTTTCCAATTGCCGTCGTGTGGATGGATTTTTCTTTTGGGTGGGCTAGGAGGAAACGCGAAGGAAAAGCGCCTTGCTGCGTCCATTTGTCTGCAACTGGCGGGATCCAATTTTGAGTGTTTTGCTTGACGGATTGACGGATGTGCGGGGCTGCTGCTGTTCTTGGTGCTCTGCTGCAAAAGCTTTTAGGCCCTCTAAAGTTCAAAGAGCACGATGAGCAGATAGCCAAGGATCGTGATGAACAGTTCAGCTTCACTATTTTATATTTTGATTAAGTGGAATATGAAGTATTTGGTTATAATTTGGTTAAATTGTTAATTGTTGTAAATTGTTTAATGAAAATATTTTTAATTTTAAAAGGACAATTTTGGTATCTAAGTTTGGAGATGCTTTTCCTATTTAAATTACCAAGAAAATGAAAAGAAGTCTAAGACCTATCGTTAATATTGTATTTTCAATATTTAAATCTAAGAACTAAATATTATATTTCATTAAAAGCCTAGCTCACCTTTATTCTTTTAGACCCAGTTGGTGTTTCAAGTTGTTCAATTTCAACTGTACTATCTATAATTGGCCAGCACACTCAAGGCCATGAACAAGGCCTGCCTGCCACTGCACACAATGCAGCGCAATGCCGACAGGCAGCAGAAACATAAAAATAAATGTCAGCTTATATTTTTATATAATTTTTAATTAAAGGCTGCTGCAGTAGCAGTAGCAGCACTCGTTCTGTGGCAATGTGGAAATGTGAAAATGTGGCAATGTAGCAATGCAGTTGCAAATAAATAGCTTATCGGCAAGCTGCCACAACTGCTGACATTCCCAGCGAAAGGCGGGGGGTCTATGACTGGCCACATCCGGCGATTGCCACGAGGCCACAGCCTCGTTTATTGTTGTCCCGTTGTCCCGCACACACAACTCGAGCATGTCCTGTGCCTGCAGGATACATTTCCCCCCTGGCTTTCCTCCTGATGGCCATCATGTTGGCCTGTCGCGGCGGGTTCGCTCCGGTCCCACGTGTCGTATTAGTTGGATTGAATGCGGACACATGGGTCAAGTCACCCCGCGTTGACCGATGACGATGTTTCGGTTTTTCCAAGGGGTGTGGAGCAGGGGCGTACAAGTGTTTTTCCACCCCTCTCATGTATCTGGGTCAATTTAAACAGTGTGTGGAAAAGGCTTGAGGCCATTTCGGCCCCCATACTCCTTCTGCCACCTGTCGTCGTCGTTCGCTGCCAGTTTTGTGGTTTTTTATACGAGGCTCTCGTGGAAAAGCTTTTGTGGGCGTGCTGGTAAACAGCGCGCAAACACAAACACACACATTTCTCCGTTTTTCCCATTTTTCGGGGTCCTTTGCGTGCGCATTTCCGCTTTGGCAGCTCGAAATTTATTCGATCAACAAGTTTCGTTTGTCATTTTACGCTTCGTCTCGCTCTATCAGACCAAACAATAATAATAAAAATACCCTGCAAAAGTGGATAGTTTTTCCCAGCCATTTTATCGAAAATTAAAATTTAAAACTTTTAATTTCCGACTAAACTGAAATGATAGACAATGACAAGGCCATATGCCATCTAAAAATACCCTGCAAAGTATGATAGTTTTTCCGGCCATTTTATGGAATTTTAAAACTTAAAACTTTAAATCTCCGACAAAACTGAATTGATAGACAATGACAAGGCCATATGCGGAAATCTCTCGCTTAGCTGCTCCTCGTGGAATATTTATAGCAGATTTATTAATATATTAACGCGGCCCTTTGGAGCAATTCATGCGTGAGCAAGTCAATCAGCCGAGCAGATAGAAATGTGTAACCCGATAACTTTAAGAGCCCGGGGCTTTGGCTTTGGCTCATTGAAAAGCCATAGCACACAGAGAGCAATCAGTAAACAATGTGCCTTTTTTTCTCGTATTTTACAGATATACCCGACATTCCCGACGATATCAAGCATCTGCAGAGCCTGCAGGTGGCCGATTTCAGTTCGAATCCGATACCCAAGCTGCCCTCGGGCTTCTCCCAGCTGAAGAACCTGACCGTCCTGGGCCTCAACGATATGTCGCTCACCACATTGCCAGCGGATTTTGGCAGCCTCACGCAATTGGAGTCACTGGAGCTGCGCGAGAATCTGCTCAAGTACCTGCCGGAGACAATAAGCCAGCTGACGAAGCTGAAGCGTCTGGATTTGGGCGACAACGAGATCGAGGATCTGCCGCCCTATCTGGGCTATCTGCCCGGTTTGCATGAGCTCTGGCTGGATCACAACCAACTGCAGCGACTTCCGCCTGAGCTGGGTCTGCTGACCAAACTGACCTACCTCGATGTGTCCGAGAATCGGCTGGAGGAGCTGCCCAACGAGATCAGCGGCCTGGTCAGTCTCACCGACCTGGATCTCGCCCAGAATCTTCTCGAGGCTCTGCCCGACGGCATTGCCAAGCTGAGCAGGCTGACCATCCTCAAGTTGGACCAGAATCGATTGCAGCGATTGAACGATACGCTCGGAAAGTGAGTATATATAAATAAATAATAAACTCTCTATACTCTTCGGATACCCAAACAAAAATAAATATAGAAAAGAAACTATTGTTAAATCCATTCTACAATATTGAGTTTCTAAACTGCTTCAAAAATATGGTTTATACCCATATTAATAATTTTGAAAGTATGAAAATTAAATTACAAAACATAAAATGTATAATATTTTGTATAAAATTAACACTGCTGATTATATAATTTATAGCATTTAATATTACATGAATACCTATTGTTTATACTACATCTACTATATTTTATATTTTTAACACAACGCTTAAAGAGTTTACACTTTTGATTTATTTATTGGATGTCCTTTTTTAACCTATCAACCCAAAAAGCAAAAATTTACATCATTGTTTAGTTAAAATATTTTATTTATTTATTATTGGCTTATACTTTTTTTTGTCCACCATAATTTATTATAATTCAAACAATTCGAATAATCTTAAAAGCAAAATCATCTTATTCTATTTTTTTGCATTTAGTTAACCAGTTACGCTCTCGAGCTCATTTCATTTTTCTTATCTTATCTTGGTTTTACCACAATATTTGCAAACAGACAACAAAAATATTTGTTTATATGGAAAGCGCCTTTTAAAAAATTTTGAATATACAATAGAAGCAAATATTTACCAGGTTATCTATATTTAAAATTGGGTTCCTCATAAAGAATAATTTTCTGTGAAATGTTATACACCATCTAACTAAATTTCCTTTCCTCTATTTTAAAGCTGCGAGAACATGCAGGAGCTGATACTCACCGAGAACTTCCTCTCCGAGCTGCCCGCCTCCATTGGCCAGATGACCAAGCTAAGCAATCTGAACGTGGACCGCAATGCGCTGGAGTACCTGCCCCTGGAGATTGGCCAGTGTGCCAATCTCGGAGTGCTCAGTCTGCGGGACAACAAGCTGAAGAAGCTGCCGCCAGAGTTGGGCAACTGCACGGTGCTGCATGTGCTCGATGTGAGCGGGAATCAGTTGCTGTATCTACCCTATTCCCTGGTCAATCTGCAGCTGAAGGCCGTTTGGCTGTCGGAGAACCAGTCGCAGCCGCTGCTCACCTTTCAGCCGGACACGGATGCGGAGACGGGTGAGCAGGTGCTGTCCTGCTATCTGCTGCCCCAGCAGGAATACCAGCCAATTACCCCGGGTGAGTTTCGTGTGATGAGTCAGCCAGTCAGCTAGCTAGTAGAAATTCCCCAGCGGGTTTAACCCAGTGGCTAAAGGTTGCTCCACATTTGGCGCTGTCTGCTCACCGGTGGGCTACATTTTTGGCCAAGCTATGTGCCTTTATCAGCACCTGACATAGATTCCACAATAACCGCTACCCTGCCCCCATCCCCATCCCCATATCGTTGTGCAATATCTTCAATCTATGCTCGCATTTCCGCGATAAGATAAACCCCGCAAAGTGAGCAAACATCGCCAACAAAACGAGCGAGCTATCCAAAGTTTTGTATACCTACTATCTTTCGGGCTGAACAAAGAAAAATTATATACAAAACTTTGGCAAGACTTTTAAATTCAATTTTAAATGTTATCCTACCCAGCAAGTTTTCACCTTCTTTTTGTGACTAAAAAACTTAATTGTATTTCCAAAATTATTATGTTTCATACTGATTTCAATTATTTTCTTTGCTTTCCGCCACGTCACGCGCGCTCTTTTCTCTCTCTGAAAAAACATTGCACCTATTCTACTCACCCTCTATTTTATGTTCATCCAATCCAATCAAAGACTATCCACCCATGACGCTTTATAGATCAAGCGAAAAATTCGATTCGACGGAATTCTTCAGTTATCAGCAAAAAGGTTTGCGTTGAGTATTACCTTCTTTGTTAGTGTATCAATAACAATAAAACGCTATATCTGCCTTGTACAGAGTTAACAAGTCTATATAGTAGAGTTGCTTGACTTGGATTTTACGAACTAGTTCTCTCCTTTTGGTTAACTTTTGTTTGAAATTATTTTGTTATTTGAAATTAAATTTTTATTAAATTATTTTGAGTTTAAACTCTACTGTATTGGCCAGCCTGACCGCTCAACTTTTGCATGTCCGCTTTGTTATGAATTTTTAATGTGCCTAGCTATAAAATATAATTAATATTATAAAGATAAACAGATATTTACGATCCCAGAGGCTAGAACAAAGATGATCTTAAAGAAAACCACACCTTAACGACTTTTCTAACCTCTTCTGGTTGACATTTAACCAAGTGAACTCTGTTCTCTCGGGTTCTTCGTAGATGATAGCATCGTAGCTCCCCAACACTTTTGGTTTTTGGAAACGCATCTTGGCCCCGTCCGAAAGCCAGTTGGAATAAAAACACTAACCGGTTTGCTGCCCCTCTTCCAACACCAGAAAGTGACGTCATGACAACAAGTTGTTTTTGGGTGTTGGCTGGAAAACATATATTCATGTATATTCATATAGTATTCACTCAATACTCTTACACACGCAACGACGTATCTCCGATGAATGATAAAAAAATGTGTGTGTTCGATTTGGCTTGTTTGATTTGATTATGTTATTATTTTGTGTTTATATTCCATTCATTTTGACGGCCCATGCTATTTCCCATCGCAGATCAGTGGCGATTTTTCCGTTTGGTTCCCACACCCTGGAAAAAAAAACCCACTTGGAACTTGGGGAATGGCGAATGATTGGGATCTATTTGCCCCCTGAATTGAGCAGCATGCCAGATCAAAGCGGTCAAACAGACAGACGATTTGTTTGTTGTTGGCTCTGCTGCTGCAAATACCATCGAGATCCATTACCATTTAATCTGCTAAGGCATATAACGCATAAATACTGGCCGTTTTGGGGCACTTGAGTGATGTCAACGGCTGTGACGTCATCATGGAGGGAAAGGGGAGTGGCAGGCCGTTTGGTAAAACTGGGGCAAGATCGGCGAGAAATGTAATTATGTGTTGGTTAATAATATTAATCGCCTGGCTTGTTTCGATGTGGTATATGTAGTGTACTGTAGTGTACGTGTGTGTATGACACCAAAACTAACTGTTGATTAATGGCCTGTCACAGGGGATACAGTGGTACCTGGCTGGGTTGACTTCTGTTTCCAGGAAACCAGTTAAGATTCCATGTAAAAGTCATTGAACTCGGGGAAATATTTTAAATACTTCAGGTGAAAAAGGAAAAGAAAAGTTGAAATTACCTTATAAATCAGAGTTAATGTTAGGAACCCCTACTTAATTTTTAAAGTTACTAGTATTTATTTTAGGATCGGTAAAAATTAGTTTTAAACTAAAACTTTCTTAAAATATAAATATAAAATAGTAAAAAATTATTTTTAAAGTTGTTCGATCTAAAAAACTTTTTCTGAGTAATGTATTTATCTTTTTAAAGAAAATTCTTCACCAATAAGTTTTAAATAAAGAACTATACCTGTAGTAAATATGCAAATCTAGTCTTTAGCCTTCAGCCAAATTCGTTTATCACCAGACTTTACTGCGACATTCACTGATTGACGACTGCCTTATGATTCAACCTGTATTTGTTGTTACCGATGTTGCGCCATTGTGGTTTCGGTTCTGTGTGTCGTAGTAGTTGCTGCTTCCCAATCGAAATGAATGTATAAGTAGATGGATATTGTAACTGTTATTTGGCTTCCAAACGGGTTTTGGGTCTATTCGATATGCGATTGCCTATAAATAGCCTTATATCATCAGCATATATTTGGAGAACCAACTTGTCTGGTAACTTCGCAGCCACGATCAATGCTCAATGACGGATTAAGTGCACAAATAACGCACATAACTCAGCCAATTTAGAGGAATGTGTGAATGTAGTTTCAAGATCACGTCGGTATTATTGTTTTTGTAGGCCCGCATGTAAGCTCTGTGTTCAAATTATCCAATTAAAGTCATGGGGACTTTGGGGGCACCCAGAAAAACAAAGAAAAACAAGAGGAAATAATTTGGCCTCTTATTATTGTCATTGCCATTTACAAGTCGTCGTTTTCATTTGCATAAATCTTCATCTTGGCGCTTACTTAACTCGGACTCCCCACTGTTCTAGGGGCTCTAAATTTATTTGTCTATGCTAAAATCGGTAACGATTGTAAGTTACGACTGCGACGGACATCCACAATTGTGGATGCAGCTAGCCACTTGGTGGGCCACTTCCTGCGTGGAAAACACTGCGATTTGCATTTGTTTACTGCCCACATCCCCTGCACTTGCTGCGTAGATGGATTGATTGGTGGCTGAGATTCTGGGAGCCCCCTGATTGCCCCACATGTTGCAACTTTTATGCTTTGTTTACCCATGTTCTTCTCGGGGTGTGAAGAATTTACGGCGCACACACTTCTCATAAGCGCTTGATGGATTATTAGTCCAGCGCAGACCTGGCCGAAAATGTTTATGCCAGGCGAGCCAAAAATAGTGATGGTTTGCCGCCTCTCCTCTGCTCGTAGTTTTAATGGGCGGTTTATTTATTGATTTGTGCAAAACCAAAACCGAAACCGAAGCGTAGACCATTAAGCGTTTTGAATATAAATCCGTTTGTATATAATAAATATCCATTGTTTACATATATTTCATATGTATTATATGTATATATATAGTGTGTGTGCATGGGCATGCAGTTCCACTAATCTGAGACCATTTAAGAACCCCCCAAAAACCCCACCGAACCAACCATAGAACACCTCATTGCACTCTTGATTTATATGCTAATGAAATTCGTTTGATTTGCCCCTGAAAAAAAATAATATATAGCCCGTGACCTGGAATCCGATTCGGAGCCGTTCGAGGAGCGCGAACCGTCGCGCACCGTGGTCAAGTTCTCGGAGGAGGCCAGCCAGGAGAAGGACACGCCCTTCGTGCGCCAGAATACGCCGCATCCCAAGGATCTCAAGGCCAAGGCGCAGAAACTGAAGGTAGAGCGCAGTCGGAACGAGGAGCACGCCAATCTGGTCGCGCTGCCGGAGGAGGTGAGTTGTGATCCCATTCCGGGTGCTCGATTTGATCCGAGTGCCAAGCTCTCGCAGCTGTGTTTCCATCGATAGCGAGGGGATCTTTAAGTATCTTATTGCAAATATACGATTGCTTTCTTACGTTGTACTGCTTCTTTGGCTCAATACTAATACTAGAAATAAGGTCTATTGAGTAGAATTAGAAGAGATCTAACTGGGAATAATAGAAAAATTAATAATGGAGGTTTTATTTATGAAATATTCATTTGCTTAAATTTTAATTTGGTGAGTCTAATAATAAGAAATATTTATATTATTAATTTTTTATTATATTTTGTATATAGTTTCTTTAATTTAAATTTAGAGGTCACAAATAATTTTTCCAACCGAGTACGGTTGAAATTTGTGTTGATGTACGTAAAAATTATTACCAAATTTGGCTAAAAGAGATTTCACTGACGAAGTTTTACATAAAAAGTATTACAAACTAGCGACCTCTGGCGGCGCAATATAAACTTCATGTAACTTACACATATTTTACAGACACTAAGTATAATTTAGAATTTCCCCTCAATCGTTGTGGAAACTAAAAAGTACTATAAAGTAAACAAACAAATTTCCCTTATAAATGTAAAGTAAATCAAAATTTCGCTTTTCTTCCCCAGAACGGCACCAAAGTAGCCGAGACGCCAACCGAGACCCGAACCATTGCGAATAATCACCAACAACAGGCGCAGCCGGTTCAGCAACCAATCGTTGGTGTAAATTCCAAGCAGCCAGTGGGCGTAGTCACTCCAACCGCGACGACAGTCGCCCCACCAGCAGCCATACAGGGTGGCCCAGAGGGCAGCAGCACCACCGCCAACAATGTGAAGGTGGCTACTGCAGCTGTGGTCGCAGAACTAGCAGCCACTGTGGGTGGTGGGACCACCGATGAGACCCAGGATGATGACGAGCAGGAGGATGAGTTTGTAAGTTTCAAAAAATGTTGGAGTACATCGTCATATTCTAAAACCTAACTTTATTTACTCCCTAGGAATCCGATCGCCGTGTGGGCTTTCAGGTGGAGGGCGAGGATGATGACTTCTACAAAAGGCCACCGAAATTGCACAGAAGGTAAGGCAAATAAGTCCAAAGATTAATTTAAATAATAGTTTAGATTACATTTAAAATATAGTGAAAAAAATTTAAAAAAAAAATGTCATGCATATTAAATATTTATAATAATAACAATTCTAAATTTCTGTAATAATGAACTGATCAATAATAATTATTATAATAGGTTAAATTATAAGTTAATTATAAAGATTGACCAATTTAGATCCTGAGATCCTAAATCTTTATTTAGTACCTCTTTGCCACATGGTTTCTAGCCTTTCCAACTTCCTTTGTTAAGTCTTAAGCCTAGTTTTCGTAAACCTCTAATAGCAATTCCATCCATTAATACTTACCATAAATATATATATTTTTTTTCCTATCCAGGGACACTCCGCATCATCTTAAGAACAAGCGTGTGCAGCATTTAACCGACAAGCAGGCCAGCGAGATCTTGGCCAATGCACTGGCCTCCCAAGAGCGTAATGATAGCACACCGCAGCACTCGTTATCCGGCAAAGTGACTTCGCCAATCGAGGAGGAGGAGCAGCTGGAAGTTGAGCAGGAGCAGCAGCAGCAACAACACCCTTTCGACTCGTCGCTCTCGCCGATTCCAGCTGGCAAAACAGAGGCTACCACCGATTCAGGTAAATACCCGAAAATTGTTTCAATTAATTACATTTATATTGCTCCATCTCTGTGAACTGTCCCCCCGAAATGGGGTAAAGCAAAGTGCTTTTGGGTGCATCCAATCCACAGGCATTGATGGGAAATCGATATGAAAGTGGGGGCACTGGTAATTTTCACTCATTTGCCAACTGGCTGACCTGTAAGGGCACAGAGACATTGAAGTGGAAACCTAATTGGCATCCTCTCAGTCTTTCCTTGCCTTTTCTGGGATGCAAACTAAAACCGCAAAGAGACCACTAGACCACCCATGGAACCTCCTCTCTTTTAATTGCTACAAACTCTCCACACGCCATCGAGCGCTTTTTGGGGTCTAGGCCTCACAAATGAGGTTTATGTATGTACTTCCGATATATAATTATATCAACAAAAAACAGGCAGAGAGCGGGAGAGCCAAGTCGATTAAAAGCGCGTTAGGCCAGCGGAATACTACAGGTGGGCTTGCGAAATACACGCAACAATTGAGCGTTAACTTGGCCTATAAATAGGCAGGGCACGTAGTGTGTGCTTATCAGCCGAATGATATCAGCTTGCAAAAGCTGATAAAAAAAATAACTGAGCAGAGATAGGGGAAAAAACAGTGCAAACCTCACTCAAAAACGGGGTAAACAAGTCGAGTAGAGAAGAGAGCGCCCGATAAAAAATGGTGCAAATGAAACTGAAATGAGTTGCCTCATTATACGGGTACAGAAAAAAAGATCAGATTGATATGTGCGAAAAAATTTCATTTTTTAAAGATCAAGCTGTTCATATCATTTTATCATGAATAAAGATTATTTTTATCTTATTTTAGATTATTTGTTTAAAAAATACCAAATTTGGTATTTAATATGATATAATAAAATATCATCTGGATATGTTTGCATCATAAATTTGACATAAATCATGTCGGCTTTCTATTGATATTAAATAAAGTAGAATTGACCCTTTTTACTATCGATTTTTTTTTCTGTGCACATGTATGACTAGGTAGCAATACCTGGTGGAAAAAACTGAGAGTGAGAAGAGCTAGCAGAGAGCTAGGTAGAAACTGAAACTGAGACCGAGTGCAATTGCCAGACTTTGCGACCGGGTCTGGGCGTTTGGCCCACTCGCCGCCTGCTTTAGTCATTCTTCAGTTACGCTTGCGTTTTGTCAACGTCGCGAGAGACGCGCTACATTCGTCAGCAGCTCACCGTATATTTGCACTTGTTATTATACGGTTTATCTACCTCTTCTTTTTTTTTTATTGGCATTCAAAACAGAGAGTCAAGATCTTGAGCAATAACAATAGCAGAAGCTTCTCACGCAGATAAAAACATACCTTGACTTGAAAAACAAAAAACATTTCATTGTTAAATACTTCTCAAGAGGTGAAAGGGATTCCTGTAATAAGGAAAACAACCTTCACGTTTGAGTTCTGTATAAAAACTGATTTTATTTCATTAAGTCTTTGCTTACGTAGCTAACATGAAATTCTTATAATATACTTATCTATGGTCTACGCAGAGACCACATCTGTTTGCCTGAGCGGGAGCCTTATCAACGGCCTCCTGCAATGCGACCCTATTCTGCAGTGTGAGAACTATATTTATGGTCAGGCTCAAGTGGCCTGTACTTAAGATTACAAGTGTTAGCACTGCACCCTTGTAGGGTTTGAGTTACAGATCGTTATTTACGGCTCTAGATCAATTTACATATTGACATGTACTGAACTCGTAAAATATTAGATTTATTATAAAAGGTGTTCTTCTTGAACAAGAGGTGAAGTGAGAAATGTTTTCTTCGCTTCTGCTGCTGCTGCTTACGTGTTTTGTTGTTATCGATTTTTGTCTGATGTGTCTGTCATAATTCCTTCATGGCGGAGGAGGTTTAGTCAGTCGTCTGGAAAGTTTCACACATTGCGCATACGCAGCGTATGATGGCCCAGGGCCATAATTGAATTTCGACTGCACTTCTGGCTGCTATCAATCCAAGGTTGAGGAACCAGGGAACTTATATCCCCCAGGCCAAGTAGCCTTCCCTATTTGCATTTCGGCTGCATTGCACATATACCCGAAAATGAGCTACTTGAAAGTAAATTTAGCCTTGTTTATATAGCACAAGCATTGCCTGGTTTTCACTGGGATATTTGCAGTTGGCAAACATATGAAGAGTGTGTGTGCCTTAGGTTTCGGTTCAGTTCGGTTCGGTTCTTTGTGTGTGAGTGTGCATATCCGGTTTCCCGGCATTTCCTTCGCCTTTGCACAGATTTTTCTGGTTAGATATTGCAAACGCTTCGCCAATACAATCAACATTTGCACAATTCCTTTTGACATTCCTACGTTCTTGTCCTCTATTTTCTACCATTTTTTTTTTTCTGCTAGATCCTGGCAAACAATAAGCTGCATTTGCTGCACATTTCCTGCACGGGGTTCTTAAAGCCGAGAAAAACACATAACAACACAACCACCGTCCGAGTTGCGAGTCGACCAATGTTGCCCAATAAATAAACCGTTGATAAGCTCAAGGCAATGGCATTCATTATTTATGTATTGTATCGTTGATTGCATGGCATTCTTATTGAATTTTTCCCTCAGTATGTTGCGTGTATATATGATTGTTTGTTGGTTTGTTTGTTTGTTCAGTGCGCCCTTTTCATCACTGATGTAACAAAGTATGCATTATTATTTGCTGTTCTCTTGCAGCTCAGCTCTTGTGCAAACAGCAATTTAAACTATTTGCAGTTGGCATTCTTTCTATCAATGGCCATCAAACACAAACACGATTTCGATTTTGATTCTGATTCCGGCTTTTGTCGAATGTTTAAGTTTTGCAAAATGTAGAAAATACATAGCCCTGAACTCTTGGCGGAGGAGGCCTTGTGTTTTTCACAGTTGCATGCTAAGTTTATCGCTTAAACCGCCACTGGGGGAGGGGGAAAATTCTGCCACTCTGCCATCAGTTTTCGTGACAGTTTTCCCCCCCTTTTAAAAAAGAAAGGAAAAAAAACAAGGCCCACATCTTGCCATTTTCGCGCTAGAAAACAAACAAAAATGCAATAAACGCCAGTTGCAGCGGAGAAGCGGAAAAGAGAAGCGGCGTTGTTCGTTCGGGTCAAAGAATTTCACTGCGTATTTTCCAATATTTTCACCGCCATGTTGATAGCATGGAAATGTGGAAAATTCGAGTAATTGTCACAGGAGAGAGGAGGCAATAGCAAGCCAGACCAAAAACCAAACCAAACCGAGCGAACATTGGTTTGTCAACAAACATTGATGCGGCAATGTGACAACCTGAATTGTTCGCCCCAAATTGCAATCAAAATGTGGGCTTTTCATTACCAGCTAAGCGTTTTTCGCGCCCATGATATCATCACATTAATCATAGGCACCTATGCTGCCCCACTGATATGTGATAACAGGAAATAACGCATTCGACAGGTGGACCAAGGTCATTAACTACCACTTGACTTTTCGGTTTGGTTCGGTTTACCTCGTTGTAATTGGTATACACCTACGTTCCTACGTATATGTCCAAAAATTTCGTAATGATTCAGAGCTGCCTTATCGCATCCCAGTTTGTTTTACTACTACGGTTTCGTTTTTCGCCCCTTGTTTTGCTTTATCACATTGGCTTAGGCATTCCAAAGTTTGATTAGATAGCTGTGTTTTGAACACAGCACACCCCTTTTCGTTCCCCTTTATAAGGAAGACCAACAGTGGAAATCGAAAGAGAACCGAACCAAACAGAACCGTCAGTTTTGATGGAGGGAGCTTAGTGCTGCGTTATTGTTGTCGGGATATTTCAGGCTGCTGTGTTTTTATGGCGAGCATAAAAACTTTGTTCATTAATTTTTGTCGCCACATTTAAGCGGACGACCCGTCGTACGGTCCGTTTTGTTGATTTCCAAAGCTTAACACTCGCAATTTGTCAAAAGCATCGCTTTAACCTGTCCGGCAATTAATCATTGGAGTCTGTGCTCCCCATAACTCTAGAATTTTTTCATTTTCATACAAAAAAATTGGAGATCACGTGACTTTAGGTCGCCTTTAAGCCTCGCAACTCGAATACTTGATCTCTTGCCATTGATAATGTCGGGGTAATTAAAATCGATTGATTCGATGCGGTCATTGGCTCAAATTCCATCCAGAATGGAAAGCTAAATTTGCATGAATGGGAAAAGTTTTTCTGTCTTTTTTTTCTGTTTCACTTGTCACACGAATGTGGCAAGTTGAAGCAGCTTGTTGGCCACAGATTGCCATTGGGGGGTAGAGAAAAAAAAAAAGAAAAGACAGGCGAATGAAATATGATTTCTGCCTTTTGGCATGTGTCCATGCTGTTGGCTAATTTCCCAGGGACGAGAGAGAAGTCGCCACTTCTCCGTTCCACCGGGTCATTTACATATAAATGACAAAACAAAAAGAAAGAGCAGCGGACAGGAGAAACTCCTTCGGAATTTGGCATTTGTCAGGAGATAGCAGGAGATTTCGATTCTGATTCCGATTCATAAGATTCATAAAGCAGCGTGCAAATGCTAATGCATTCGGGAAATCATCATTTCTTATTGCCAGCTTCTCATTTTACGATTTGCGGTGCATTTAAATTTTTATATGTTTATGTTTATGCCATTCATTTTACGCGAGGACCTTATTTTTATACCCGTTACTCATAGAATGAAAAGGTATATTGGGTATCGCCTTAAACGACTTTTGTCGTATGTCTGGCGAAAAAGTGTAAATGCCTTTTGTTGTTTTTATTAATATTTATCGAAATGTAGAAGAAATGTTTCAAATCGCACCATTCATTTAAAAGTTATGAGTAAATAATGACATTTAATCTGTGCAAGCAGTCGCTTTACTGCATGCATGTCTCCATCTCTCTCGCACTTCCTCTAGCTAAGTAACAGGTATCTGATAGTCTAGGTACTTGATTCTAGCGTTCTCTCCTGCTTGAAGCTCACCTCATTGAGCATCACGCGTGTGATGTCATCGTAAAATGCTTAAATGCCCGCTTAAGTGGGTGCCGCAAAAAGTTCGCAGGCACTTGGGCAATCAGTAAAATAAGTCTGATAAGAAAAATATGAGGAAAACAAATGACTTTATGCGAGATCCTCCTTGTGCTGTGTGCAGTTCCTGGTTTCGTTTCGTTTCGTTCGTATTCGTATTAAAACTTCACTTTCCATTCCCCGCAACCAAAAGATTGCCTACATTCCGGGGTCTTGGGGAAAACCGGAATAAAAACCAACACACAGCACGTGTCATTTGTTCTCCTCCCCGGGAAAAATCTTATTTTGTTTTATGGCTTTTTCTCTGGTTATTGTTGTTTTCCTCTTCCCCCATGAAAAGCATGAAAAGATGGCTTTATTCTGAGCGTAAACGTATGCATGTGTGTGGGTCTGGTCGAAATATATCCATAAAAATATCTTTCGCTTACACATTTGTCCGACAATTCAGAGCATCAAATTGAGAGCGAAGGAGATGAGTTGTTGAGTTGGCATTTAAAACATTTAAACGGAATGTTTTGCTGCCATAACACCTTTTTTGCTTAAAGTTCTCCGTAGCCCATTGAAATTGTTGAGTTATGAAAACAAACTTGGGTGGGTCTCAACTGCTCTGCTGTAAGCAAACAAATACAAATTTTCTGAATACCCCACTCAACTTACCGAAACTCAATAAATGGCACATCGAGTGAATGGCAATGTCTGAACTGAAATCCAGCATAATATTAATGTTGACTTGACAGGCAGGCAGACGGGCAGGCTAAAGCTGAGTGCCTCTGTCTTTTCATTTATGCCTTGATTAACATGAAAACTCGCATACAATTACAAAGTGAAATTGTCTCGAGTGCTCTTCCACCTTCCCCGTAAACAGAGAACCAAATCATTTTGTTGGCCAAAGTGCCGACGGATTTATTGAGTGCAAATCAGCAATAGGGAAAATGAAAGCAATAAATATGTTTTTCTGAGAAGGGAAAAGTTACTGGTACTCTCATCTTCTTTACGCCACCTGTTCCTCAGCCTCTTTCTCTTACTTTCTTTCTTATTTTCACCTGAGGGACGGGACGTCTGACAGGCAAAGGCAGACTGTCTGTTTATTTATTTAATAATTATACAAAGTCGTATTCTCAGCTGGGGGAATTCTTCTGCCAAGGTCGTTGCTTTAATGTCTGTTTCTAGTTGGGGGAAATATGGTTCATTGACTGCTGTTTATGGGCAAGTAACAGATGCTGTTGGCCAACTTTCGGGTCATTCAATTTGAATATCATTAGGGAAAATTGTATGCCGAGCACAAATCCCTTTAGATACATTTGTTTAGTGGGTAGGTGTTTAAAATTTGATTAGATCAACGCCAATAAAAGTGTAATTCCGATGAGGTTTTCCATTTCATTGCACTTGAATGACTGAAAAGTTAGCTTCGCATATTAAAAAGTGCAGTCAAATATAAAATAGGTTGCTGCCTCTACAACACACAGGGTGTCTGGATGCAAGATGCTCGGCTGCTTATATTAAAAAGTGCACTCAGATAAAAAGCAAATCAAGCCATGTTCAATGTTAAAATCAAAGTCAAGGAGGGCAACAACACCCTGCCCCGAAATGGCCAGCGTAGCAATGGAAACTTTGGCTATTCGGGAGCGGGAAGTGGTCGCAATAGTCCGGCGATGAGCAGCCTGCGCAGCTCACTGGCCTCCTCCAATCGAAGTCCCAGTGGTTCGCTGCAGCGAAAGGGCAAGAGAGTGAGGATAGTGACCAGCTACGATCCGGTGGATCGGGATTGCGAGAGGCAGCGACAGCATTATGGTAAAAATTATGCATAGTCACATGTAATTTTCTTTAAATAAATATATAAATAAAAAAAAATTAAAAAAATAAATAAATAAATAAATAAATAAATAAATAAATAAATAAATAATAAAAAAATAAATACATAAATAAATAAATACATAAATAAATAAATAAATAAATAAACTATAAAATAAAATATTTAATAAATTCTCCCTCTTCTTCTTTGCAGACAATCTGGATGGCGTCACGGAGCTTCGCTTGGAGCAGTACGAAATCCACATCGAACGCACTGCAGCCGGATTGGGTTTAAGCATTGCCGGTGGCAAGGGTTCCACGCCCTTCAAGGGCGACGACGATGGCATCTTCATATCCCGCGTCACCGAACAGGGACCCGCCGATCTGGCTGGCCTAAAAGTGGGCGACAAGGTGATCAAGGTCAACGGGATTGTCGTCGTGGATGCGGATCACTATCAGGCGGTTCAGGTGCTGAAGGCCTGCGGTGCCGTGCTCGTTTTGGTGGTGCAGCGTGAGGTGACGCGTCTGATTGGACACCCCGTTTTCAGCGAGGATGGCAGTGTGTCGCAGATATCGGTGGAAACGCGACCACTGGTTGCGGAGGTGGTGCCCCCGCCAGCTGCATCTATTAGCCACGAGCAGCGTTACATCCCGGCAGCCATTGAAATTGCGCCCCAACAACAGCCGATTCAGCAGGTGGTGGCCCCCGCGCATAGCTATTCGGGCAACGTGTTTGCCACACCCACACCCATAGTTCAACCCACTGCTGCTGCTGCTGTCGCCCCCAATGGATTGATACTGAATGGCAGGGTGTGTAATCCATGTGAAATCCCTCTAACCAAAATCCCACCTCTACTGCCCCTCACTATTTGTGATTGATTTCTGCTTTTCCCTTTCGATTTGTGGCCTTTTCCAGGAGGCTCCACTGAGCTACATCCAGCTGCACACGACGCTCATCCGCGATCAGATTGGCCAAGGACTGGGCTTCAGCATTGCGGGCGGCAAGGGTTCGCCGCCGTTCAAGGACGATTGCGATGGCATTTTCATATCGCGCCTCACCGAGGGCGGACTGGCGCATCGCGATGGCAAAATTATGGTGGGCGACCGGGTGATGGCGGTGAGTGGAGAAGCTGCGTAGGTTGCAATCACTGACCCACAAGCTAATGGCATTTCCCTGTAACGCAGATTAACGGCAACGATATGACGGAGGCGCATCATGATGCAGCCGTCGCCTGTTTGACGGAACCGCAGCGATTTGTGCGCTTGGTATTGCAGCGCGAGTACAGAGGTCCTCTCGAACCGCCCACGAGTCCACGCAGTCCGGCCGTGCTCAACTCGTTGAGCCCCTCCGGATATCTGGCCAACCGACCAGGTGGGTATTCTACACGGTTCAACTTCTGTAACTCAATTTTCCAGCGAATTTTCATGGCAGGATGGAAAATGCATAACGGTTGACATTTTAACTTGCCTGTTTTGAATTGTAGAAAACAATATATGAGTACTATAAAAGAAAGGGAAAAAATTCGGGCAGCAAAGACGGTTAGACATAAAAATTAAAAACAAAACCCAAAATTAGGAAATGTTTAGAAATTGCATAATAAAATTGAATTAGTACCAAATTCGTCATTTAAAAAATCGTATATTTGTATTAATCCAACTAAATCTTGCAACATTTAAAGTTTTCTTTAAAAAAGTTATGTAAATCAATTCTTTTCTGAACTATGTATCACATGACTACCTTTTTTATATATTTTTCTCAATAACCTAGGGTTCTCTCACCTCGTTTCTTTAACAGCTAACTTTAGCCGTTCGGTGGGGGAAGTTGAGCAGCCCTACAAGTACAACACCCTGGCTACGACCACGCCCACTTCCGCACCCACGCCCACTGTCCCAGCCAGCATAGGCAACAATAATAACACGCTGCCCAGCAGCAAAACCAATGGATTTGCAACAGCTGCTGCTGTCGCTGCCACGGCTGCTCCTGCCACTGGTGCTGCCACGATAGACAGTGCCACGGGGCAACCTGTGCCGGCTCCCCGACGCACCAACTCGGTGCCAATGGGGGATGGAGGAGACCTTGGAGCGGCCTCCACCACCAGCGGTGATTCTGGCGAGGCTCAGGTAAGGCCAAATCCCAGGATCTCAGTAGTTAGTCTAGTTTTTCCGTTTAGCCAGTTGCACGTCATTTTAATGTGTTACCCATAAGCTCGTTACGTTACGTTTTTTGTTTGTTACCAATCGTGATCAGTCGTTAGGATAAAAAATGTATAATCTTGCGCTGCAGTATAACACACCTTTTTTTCTAATCAGCTTTAAAGGTAAGTTACCAAAATTTAAATTGTTCAAATTAACCAACTGCAGCGCAAGTCGTCCATGCAAATTGTTGTTGATATTTGGCGCCCAACAAAAAAATTCGAAAAACATAAACATGAACACACTAAATAGTCGTAAGATACCTAATATGTGCTAATCCATATCTCCGCCAGATTATCAATTACTCATAACCCTTATATGCTAGAACTCTATATATTTGCTCATCTACTCGTATGTATAACGAAATTGTTTGTGTTTGTTTTGCATGTGCCCTGTGCGCCTTGTTTGTCCTCCCAAAATATGCTATATAGTCGATCTATATATCGACCGATTAGAGACTAAGTTTGCACCGATTTGTGTCCCAGCTTCAAAGGCACCCATCAAAAAAAATTAAGAGTCAACCAAGAAACTAGAGAGCGTTTGCAGGACTGTAAATAAATTAATGATACTCATAGTTAGGCACGTTAGCTTAGTTATAGATCTAACGATAGCTTTTCTCATAGCCTAGCCTCATCATCTAAAGTGAAACCAAAATTTACAAAAACCAACATATTTTTGTTTCTTTTTCTCCGATCCACATACCACCCCCTCTCCAAAAAAAAACCAAAAAAATCTTGCTTAAAACCGAATATTTCCGAATGCTTTGCTCAAAACCATAAAACACGAAGCCCTCCTCGTTGCGACCGCTGACCAGCGATGATTTTCAGGCGATGATACCGGCACACTTCCTCAGCGGCGGCAGTCAGCATCAGGTGCATGTGGCCCGGCCCAACGAGGTGGGCGTGAGTGCCGTCACTGTGAATGTGAATAAGCCACAGCCGGATCTGCCCATGTTCCCGGCGGCGCCCACCGAACTTGGCCGCGTCACCGAGACGATCACCAAGTCGACGTTCACGGAGACGGTGATGACGCGCATCACCGACAATCAGTTGGCGGAACCCCTGATCAGTGAGGTGACTATCTCCACATCCCGCATACACTAAAAGCCACAGTCAGTTGCTGCCAAGAGTTAAAAAAAGAATCGTTGTGTAAAAATCGCAAGCAAAGATAAACGGAAATCAGATGAACTGACAAATGTATATAGAGTATATCCACCATGGAAATCGAGCTTTTCTCGTCACCGCACAAAAAGCACGCACAACATCCTATCCGTACACTATGCACACACCAAAATTGTTTAATTTAAAGATTATGATTAATTTATAATTTCCTATAAAATTATATTTCACAATTGGCACAAGCGCGCGTCCTAAATAAATATTTGTGCGTTTTGCAAACGATTTGATTTAACTATTGGTCCAAGGCCTTGGAGGCGCCGGGAGTTCACATCTGTTTTCATGCCCAGCATTATGCAAAACATGCACATTTACAAGAGTTGTGATTGCTCCGACTAATTGAGTAGCAGTTGAGATGGAATTGGATTAAGTTGGTTAAGGCATTGGAAGCTGGAAACTGTTATTAAATGATTTATTAATTTAGTTGAAGAAGATGGCATGATTTTTCTTTTCTATACTAAGCTAACTTTCTCTCTACTAACACTGGATAAATATAATTTGTATCTTTTTAAAACAAATCTTGGTTTATGTTTCTCTTACTAAATAACTTCACAGAAGATCTGATTGATATGTGCTGGTCAATTTTGTATTTATTTAAGATCATAAAGATATGTTTATCTTATTTTACATTATTTGTTCAAAAAATACTAAATTTGGAATTTTATATGATATGATAAAATATCATTTTAATATGTTTGACTGATAAATTTGACATTAATCATATCGAATTATTTTTCTGTGCTGAAATTAAGATATAATATCTACTTATTGGCTTTGGAGATTTTTAAGGGGTTTTTCTGAAATTTGTTTCTGCTTTTCCTGGTGGTTAGCAAGTGCTCCTATGATTCGAGTGAGCCAGGCCAACACTTGAATATTTAGTGTCCCTTGGTAGTAACTGAATCTATTGAAGTGACGAGCAAAGCGCCTTCATTTTGAACGACAGAACGGTTTACTCACTCACTTCCCAGAGAGCCACTCGAGTGTCATGGCCGACGTGATGCAAATCCCGGCAAGAAATCTCCGAAATCTCTGAAACTCTGTGTGCATGTGGCAAGCTTTGTCACTTGCCACTTGCTGCTGCTGCAGCATAAATAAGTAAAAACCAGTAGCAAACTATGCAACATGCAAACAGCCTTAAATAATAAAGTGGGGCATGCCGAAAAAAGATTTAGATACTCTAAATGACGACTCACACACAGTTGGGGAAAACTGCGTACATTTTGTGTGCAGTGCAGGCCATAAGTAAACTTTAAATATTTCTGTTTGCCTTGGCAATCTCAAAATCTCCATCCGTTCGTTCGTCTGATTGCGAGTGTAAACACTCTCCGGGGCAATGTTAAATAAAATATTTAATTGTTTTTAATTTATTTTCCCCCTCCGTCTGTTTCGCAGACATTTATCCGTTCGCTTCGAACTCGAAAGAATTCAATTTCATCGAGGTAATTGGCAAAAGTTAGTAGCAGTTAGCAGTTAGCCCAGGTACATGTGTTTATTTGGCATCTTGACACGAATGAAAATGTCTGTGCGATTGTCAGAACTCTCAGGAGATAGTTTCTCTCGGCTTCCCGGCAATGAATATAAAACAGAAATATTATGCTTTGATGTTTCAATATGCCAGCACTTGAGCTCAACCACAGGAGCCGCAAGAGCTTTTGTTTAAATCTGTGTGAAAGTATTCAGCCCACTCTATCTCTTCGCCTTGCATGTTGTTTAATCTAAAATTAAGTTATTCATAAGAAAAGCACAAAAGTTATTCATTATTTATTGAATGTGAATCACCCTCGGTACTCGGATTTCGATGTTTAATGAATGCTCTGACTTAATTGCATGACTTTGTTATTTGGTGTTTGGCTTCTCTTGGTTTTGGTGTCTCACGAAAAATGTGATTTATGTAAAATTTCAATGTAAATATCACCAACAATATTGCACCCCCATTGGAAGCACTCTCCTCATCCATGATTCACCTAAAACACACGGCAGACTCTGTAGGATTCTTAGCGTTTAGGCCCATTGAATTGTGTTAATTTTGTGAATGTGCTAACACGAGATTTTTCCCTATTATTTCTATAGGAGGTTGTGCTGCCCAAGAACCAGGGCTCCCTGGGATTCAGCATCATTGGCGGCACGGATCATTCCTGTGTGCCCTTTGGCACTCGAGAGCCTGGAATTTTCATATCGCACGTAAGTAGAGGGGGGTTGGTAGGGTATATTAACTAACAATTACCTTCTGCAGCAGCAGTTGGGTAAAAACTTTTCGAATTAAAACACTCGAGTGGCCGCTGCAAGTTGCGAATGCAAATGAGCTCGAGCTGCTGCCTGCTGCACAATTGTTCAAAATCCAGTGGCTCGGAGGATGGCCAACTTAGCCAGCTGGCAGCAGCAGCTCAAAAGTTTCAAGTTTTTTCGACCATTCATATAACAATTGCCCTTGGGGTTTCCCATTCTCCTCCAACAGATTGTGCCCGGCGGGATTGCCTCCAAGTGCGGCAAGCTGCGCATGGGCGATCGCATATTGAAAGTCAACGAGGCGGATGTTTCCAAGGCCACCCATCAGGATGCCGTTCTGGAGCTGCTGAAGCCAGGTGATGATATCAAGCTGACCATTCAACACGATCCACTGCCGCCAGGTTTCCAGGTGAGTTTAAGTCTATTGTTTAGATAGTTTAGTTGGCTTTCTGTACTGTAAATATGTATATACGCTTTGTATCTACTTCTTACTCCTCCTCTATAATCAATTTTTGTACACTCTGCCACTGCTCACAAACAAAATTCAAATACGCACAGAGCATAGAAGTAGTTTATGTAAAAACAGAGGTAAGCTCTCCTCGTCGTCTTGACTTTTGAGAGGGGAAATATGTACACAGAAAAAAAAATCCTTCTGAAATAGGGTCATTTCTATATGATATGATTAATGTCACATTTATGATTCAAACATATCATCTTGATATGTTGTAAAAATATTGTTTTAAAATACCAAATGTAGTATTTTTTGAAAAATAATGTAAAGTAAGGTAAACATAACCTTTGTTCATATCAAAATGATATGTATATCATATCAATCTGACCTTTTAATTTTTTTTCTGTGTATTCCAATTAGTTAAATGCTTTTTATTATCTGGTTTTATGCTTTGTTTTTCCCCGATTGTTATTTGCCAGCATTTAAATTCCTTCTCCTTCTAACCACCAACTCCTTTTGTTAATTTGCGAATCACAGGAAGTGCTGCTCAGCAAGGCGGAGGGCGAACGCCTGGGCATGCACATCAAGGGTGGACTGAACGGGCAGCGCGGTAATCCGGCCGATCCCTCCGACGAGGGTGTCTTCGTGTCCAAAATTAACTCGGTGGGAGCGGCCAGACGGGATGGAAGGCTTAAGGTAACGTAGTGCTACCACCTTTGTTGTCTGGGGAAAAGTCGATTGAAACTTTTCGCTCCTCCTCCTGGATTTCTTTCCAACTTACAGGTGGGCATGCGTCTGCTGGAGGTTAATGGACACTCGCTGCTGGGCGCCTCGCACCAGGATGCGGTCAATGTGCTGCGCAACGCTGGCAACGAGATTCAATTGGTCGTCTGCAAGGGCTACGACAAGTCCAATTTAATTCATTCCATTGGCCAGGCCGGCGGCATGAGCACTGGCTTCAACTCGTCTGCATCCTGCAGCGGTGGCAGTCGCCAAGGTACGTAATCGTGGGCTTAACGCCCCTTGAGTTGTCTTGTTTAAATTGCTTTTACCTTTTAGGCTCTCGGGCCTCGGAAACGGGCTCGGAACTGAGCCACAGTCAGAGTGTATCAAGTCTTGACCACGAGGAGGATGAGCGTCTGCGACAGGTGGGTGGTGCTGAATTTAAGGAGCTGCCTGGTCTGAACTTTAATGCCTCTGTTTACCCACAGGACTTTGATGTTTTCGCCTCGCAGAAGCCAGATGCACAGCTGGCAGCAGCTGCCGCCATGGTGCATGGCACCACATCGCCCACACCCACAGCAACTGCTACTGCCACCACACCCACTCCTCCCGCTCCAGTTGCTGATTTAACAGCTCCGGACACGCCAGCCACCCAGACCGTGGCGCTTATTCACGCAGAACAACAGGCCCATCAGCAGCAGCAGCAGCAGCAGCTGGCGACTGTGGGTCAGGAGAAGAGCACCCAGGAGAAGGTAAATGAACTGACCTTCAGACAATCGAAAGCCAAAACTTATGTTTCGTTTGCAAATTAGGTGCTGGAAATTGTACGCGCTGCCGACGCCTTCACCACCGTGCCACCAAAGTCGCCATCGGAGCATCACGAGCAGGACAAGATACAGAAGACGACGACGGTTGTCATATCGAAGCACACGCTCGACACGAATCCAACCACCCCCACAACGCCGGCGGCACCCCTGCCCATCGCAGAGTCAGCGAACTCAGCAAATGCTGCTCCTTCTGCTGCATCCTCGCCTGTGGGTTCAGTAGCACCAGTTCTTCCTGCCGAAGAGCAGCAGTCGCAACTACAGGTATGTGAGCACCTCAAGGTGGATATGCACGTCTCTTGTCTATCTGTGTGTGTACGTCTTTCAATATCTGTGCGTGTACTTTTTGTTTTCTGTAAAATGTTAGGACTCAGATCCCCAACAGATACAAATACACCCATGTAACAGCTAACACGAACCGACAGTCAAAAACCCACCCAAAAAACAAAAAAAAAAACAACTCAACTCTAAACCCCACCAATCTCTTAACTTGATTTTTGTTTCGTATTCAGCTTGTTATGTGTTTGTGTAACTTCACTAATGCCTTTGTCCTGTCACTGACATTGCGTGCGTCTGTCTGTCTGACTGTGTGTGTGTCAAAAATTTTTAAATATACATAAAGAAAAAAAAGAAAAAAAGATAAACCTCAAAAACACCTTACTACCATCCATCTCCACAAAAACCACAGAGGTCACAAAACTGTTGTGATAAATTTGGCATGTGATGCCAGTTGAACAAAAAAAAGAGAGAAAAAAGTAAAAGCTATATTTTCAACTGAATTCACAGAGGTAACAGCATGATAGCATCAGACCATTAAACCTACTGACTGTAACTAAAACCAAAATAATCATTGCAAACACTTTCCACTCTCTCATGTAAACACACAGGCAGCATCGATTTCCATTTCCATTTCCATGCCATCGTGTGTGTTGTTCTTTTGTTGCTGCTTTAAAGCGCTTTTCCGTTGCAGTTTGAATTAAAAACGTATAGAAAATCATAGCCTATCTTTGTGGGCCTCGTGTATTGTGGGTACCACGGGGCGTATGAGTTATGTGTTCTGCATGTCGGGATGTCTCGGGTTTAGCGAAGCTCCCGGGAGCTGCTCCTTTGTGGGAGTCGATGGTCTCACATTTATTGATATGGCAGCAGACAATTTATTATTTATTAGCATATTGGCTGCTCCTGTGTTGCTCCTGGCTTTCTCAGAGGGACCTTTTCGTTTTGGTTTTTTTTTTTGTTAGCCAGGTTCACTTTGGATCATTGTTCTTGTTGAGTTTCATTGTTGTTGTTGTTCTTGGTGTTGTTGTTATTTATGCTACTTTCATATTATATTCATTTCAGCCTGTTGTTGTTACCTTTGCCCCGACTGCGTAGGCGGCATTGTTATTATTGTTAACGTTGGATGTTCTTGTTGTTGTTGGCTTTAAAGCATGCCCTGCCCCCATTTGAATTTACATTGAGAGCTGTAGTAGGGAATGAAATCAGGCATACATTACTTACATATATATATATACAAACATATACTCTATAGAATGGCGCACGTATAATAAATGTAAATGTAAATAATTCAAAAACTGCAGAAAGAAATTTCCATTAAAACGTCTCTCTTATCTTCTTCTCGTCCCTGTTCTTCTTATTCTTCTCTCATTTTCCTTGAATTTTTCTTCCCATTTTCCCTTCAATAATGTGCGCGCTATACGCGCCGCTTTTCCAACGATTTGTTGTTGATTTTCCCCCTTTATTTATAACTTTTCTTATTGTTTCTTTCTCAATCTGTGTTGCCTTGGTTTCGTTCTCGTTTTCGTACTCCCGCCTTCGATTTCATTGCAGCTTACTGCTGAGCAGCGCATTGCTTAACAAGCGGATGTTTATCACCATAAGACTGAATATTTAGTTTAAACTGACAGAATACAAATGCTAGCGAGCCGAAAAAAACAAAAAGTGAAAAGGACACAGGCGGCAACAGCTTGAATTTGTACAAAACGAGTTGCAATTTATACAGAACAAAAAAAGGAAAGGAAAGAAGTCTAGGATTTGAGGAAGCGTGTTCAAAGGGCCAAGAGTTACTACTTATAGCGCTTTCCTTCCCCCTTTCCCCCACTTGAAATTCAATCAAAATCTGAACGCTCTCAACTCTGTAAATGGTTTCAATCTCTCTCTCACAAGATACCTTTCTCCAGCTCCCAAATTGTTAAAGTGTTTCCTTATCAAAACTAAAAGAGCAACAAATTCACACTTCAACCCACACACACAATTGTTGAGATAAAAGAAGGAAAGGAACTCGAACCCACTAGCAAAAATGTGTAAATGTATTTATCAACGCGGAGAAAGCTCTCTAAAATTGTCGCCATTTTGCGGCATAAAGTATTCCACTTATACATACATATAGTCTTTCGATGTTTATACTATGTGAAACCAAAACCAAAAACACCCACACACACTGGAGATACGCCCCCTCTATATACTATACATATATATTACTAAATGTGTAATAAATGTGTGGCAAGCACACACAAAAGGTCCAATTATGCAACTGAATAATACTCAAGAAGAGAAGCTGAGCAAATTTCCGATAGACAAAAACAAAAACTAAAACAAAAACTAAAGCCATTGATACAAAAAGGGCATCCTGTTATATAACCTTTTGAAAGAGCCAAGCTATACATACCTATACACTAGGGATATTTTGTTAAAGTATCTACTACTTATAAACTGTTACCACAAAAAAAAGTTTAGAAAATACCGAACTCACACCATACTTCATTGATTACACTAGTTTACAGCCGAAATGCTCCCCAGCAATTGATGGCAAATTCTGTTAGTTTTAGACCCCTAGATCACGAAAATAGCACTAATTTTTTTTTCGATGGCACAGTTTTTTTTTAAAGATTTTTTAAAGTTTGAAATGTTAAATTTCGGACTTTTTTCGAATTTCTTCTTATATCTCGGCAGATATCCACTTGGTTGAGCCAGTTTTAGTTTTATTTTAAAGTCAATAGATCAGAGCTTAACTTTGCCATACAGATTAATATGATTGGATGAGTAATGGCAGCGCAGAGGCTTGACAAAGATGAAAAATGTGTTTTTTGGTCGTCTGTAAGTCGGCTGTATATATCGTAAAAACTCGAAATAAATTCGTTGAAAAATCATAATGGGTACAAACTTAAAGTTTACATCCTACCGAATAGAACAAGCTGGATATGGCCCAAATCCATGGAAAACTGGATTTATGGTGGATTTTTAAAGTTCGGATTTTTCCACTTTTTTCGGTTGACAGAGTCCAAATTTAAGATTTATCATAGGCGGCGACATGTAAACAAAAATAATTGGTGTTGGCAGCCGGGTCACTAAATAGCTAAATCAGATATTTAAAAGCTAGAAAATTATTAAAGTGAATTTAATTTTTGAAATTAAGGTTACTTTTTTCATAAGAATGAACTATCCAAATGGATAGTACTTAATTAAAAATACTCACAGTCATAACGCAAGCAATTTTATATTTTTAAAGGAATTTTCAGAAATTAAATTTATTTTATAATTTTCTAGCTTTTAAATTTAGCTATTTTTTGATCCGGCTGCCGTCACCACTCATTTTTGTTTACATGACGCCGCCTATGATAAATCTTAAATTTGGACTCTGTCAACCGAAAAAAGTGGAAAAATCCGAACTTTAAAAATCCACCATAAATCCAGTTTTCCATGGATTTGGGCCATATCCAGCTTGTTCTATTCGGTAGGATGTACACTTTAAGTTTGTACCCATTATGATTTTTCAACGGATTTATTTCGAGTTTTTACGATATATACAGCCGACTTACAGACGACCAAAAAACACATTTTTCATCTTTGTCAAGCTTCTGCGCTGCCATTACTCATCCAATCATATTGATCTGTATGGCAAAGTTAAGCTCTGATCTATTGACTTTAAAATAAAACTAAAACTGGCTCAACCAAGTGGATATCTGCCGAGATATAAGAAGAAATTCGAAAAAAGTCCGAAATTTAACATTTCGAACTTTAAAAAATCTTAAAAAAAAAACTGTGCCATCGAAAAAAAAATAATTGCTATTTTTGTGATCTAGGGGTCCAACACTAACAGAATTTGCCATCAATTGCTGGGGAGCACACCAAGAATATTATTTTGTAAACTAGTGTTACCCTCGGTTAGGTTTGAGTTTTGCCCCCACACTTTCGTTGTTACCTAATGATAGTTAAATTTAAAGATAGCTAAATGGAATTCGAAGTGTGCATTTTTGATGTCAATAAATCTTAATGTATTTGTCGTATAAAAACCGCAAAAAATGGGTCAAACTTTTAATTGCATTTCGTTTTTTGGGGTTTTTCTGGGGAAAACTGAGGATTGGATTTTCGGAAGTTTCTTAGTTTTTCGGCCAAGAAGTTTTATTCTAAGAAAGTTTTTCGTTTGATTTCGTTATTTTAGCTTTACTTTTTTCTTGCTTTGTGACTTGTCCTTTGTCTCCGTATCTCTGCTATTCTGCTCTGTGTATTTTCGTATCGCTGATTTCGCCATCGTGTCGTCGTCGAGTTCATCAACCCAAAAACCATCATCCAGCAAATTGGCCAGAAGAGTCGCAGTCTCGCAGTCGCAGTCACTCACCTCATCATCAAGCAGAAAAATCACTGGTAATTGGCTAATGGACGCAAAGGTTGCAAAAGGAGAGACAGCACCCCAAACAAAACAAAATCGTACAACTTTTGTGTGTGTGTCGTTTGTACCACTACTACCTACTACCGCATCATCATGAAAAAAACTCACCCACCACCATTTTTACACCCACTCACCCACCATTAACGCTGCACACTGCAATTTGTGTTCCAAAGCTTGTGTGCGATGACGTTGCACCCCGAAAAAACCCAAATTTAAAACTAAAACCCAGACTAAATGAGCTATATACACACAACAATTCAAACTCCAATAGCAACGAGGCACCCAGACCCCCGAACGCCTGGCCCCCGGAGCACGTTACTCCTACCAGCAGATGCTGGAATCGCAGGAGGAGGACCACCAACCAAGTTCGAAGCCCAAGAAGGCGGAGCCCGTTTACATCATAGACGACGAGGACGATGACGATGAGGAGGAGGAGGATGAAGACCATCGGTTAGACGACATAGATGCCATCCTGGAAGAGGACGAGGAGGAGGAGGACAGCTCTCCGCCGCTGGAGGTGCAGTCGCCGCCTTCGTATGCCGACACCGATTCCGATACCTTCGATCGTCGACGAGGTCGCTACACCAGCGATTCG